GCTCTCTCAGCCTGGCTCCAGAGCAGAGCTGCTCCAGCCCTCACAGCATCTCAGTGGCCTCCTCTGGACTCTCCCCAACAGCTCCACGTCCCTCTTGTGTTGTTGCCCCAGAGCTGGATCAGGGCTGCAGGGGGGGTCTCCCCAGAGCACAGCAGAGGGGGAGAATCCCCTCCCTCGACCTGCTGCTCATGCTTCTTTCCTTCTCCAGGGATGCAGTGCTTGTGGAAGGTGCTGCTTGCCACAAGTGGTGGGAGGAATTTTTTTCACTGCTATTTAGTAAGAGTTGGTGTGATCACAAGGCAGAGGGGGATTGTAAATGACAGCAGGTAGCAGGGGAATAGAGATGAACATTTCCAGTGGGTTTCTGTGAAAACCCAAGTCCTTCCCAGCTCTAGTGCAGCTGGATATTTGGAAATTAAGTCACCCATCTCTAATAGAGCTTCTTAGTGCCCTTTGTGTGGCCAGAGGACAAGGGCAGGAGCAAGCGCGTTTGCTGTGCCTAGGTGCTGCTCAGCTCACAGAGCCAGCTCCAAGAGGTGGAGGCGGAGAACTCCCAGCTGCAGCTCCGGCTGAAGGAGCTGAACGAGGAATATCGCTCCCGGCTGGCGCAGTACATCAAGGACATGGCGGTGGGTACCCCCAGCCCCAGGGGCTCGCCTGGCCACAGAAAGCCTTTGTGCTGGCTGCCCTCTTCTTGCAGGCTGTTTCCCCTCCTTGCTGGCTGTGAGGCTTGGGGAGCCAATGCTTGCAGCTGGAAGGGGGCTCCGTGCCCTTGGCTTGGCCTGGGGGAGGAGATTCCAGTCCCACTCTATCCATCCCCCTATGTAGCTGTAAGCAGGTTTTGGCAAGAGCTTCTGTGCTGGGAGAAGGCTGGTACCAAAGAACACAGTTTGGTGACAGACTCGGACACTCAGAAAAGGAATTTTTACTGTTAAGAATAGTTTAAATCCCAACAGGGCAATGTTGAACAATGTCCTAGCTATTAGAGTGAGTGGGAAAGAGGACGGACTAGAAATGGTAACTCCCAATACCAACTTGTGTTTCCCTAGGCAGGGACACAGTACAGTACAGGTGTAACACCTGGTACAGCACAGATGCCTTCTCTGTCTTGGAGGGCCATGATGGAAGTTAATTAGTCTTTCCTGCTCTTTGAAAATGGAAGATATGCCTTGTCCTCTGTGCTGTGAGCATAAATATGACTGGAGCTTCTCTGTGGGAAATGGGTTACACCCCTTAAGGAATGACTTGATCACCTAAATGCCTTTCTCTGTATGTTTAAAGGACTTCATGGACAGCAAATCCAGCAATGTCACAGGGCCTAGCAAAGCCCCAGCTGCTCATGCTCCCATGAGACGCTTCGTGGACAGCATGCTGAAAGACATCAGGGCTTCCTACAGGACTCGGGAGGAGCAGCTAGCCAGAGCGGCACGTGGCTACAAGAAACGTATGAAGGACTTGGTCAAGAAGCATGAGAACCTGCTCATCGCTTATGGGTAGGTCTAAGCCAGGGTCGGGGCTTCCTCTATCTCTTCCGCTTGTTGCAAAGGCCCAAGTGGAAGTGCCCTGAAGCACCCAGACCCATGGTGGGGAGGGAGGAAAACAGGGCTCCCAGATGGAGCAGGGGATCTGGAGTACACGTTGATCTCCCTGCTCTTGACAAGCCAGGAGCAAGGTGTTTCCAGCTGCACCTCAGGGTGCTCTGGACACCTTGGAGCTGCTTTGCACATATGTTTCTCCTGTGTCAAATTTAGGGTGAGAAAGTGATTCCACATTGGATGCTACGGAAAGGCAGAGGTACCACAAATAACTCCTGCCTCCCAGCCTGCTCCTGCAGTGCTCTCAGCTCTGCTCCACAGCTCTCTCAGCAGCTTGGGCTGTGGGAAGCAGCAGAAATTCTTGTGGCATAAAAGCCACAAATAGCTTTAGGACAAGCTCCCCTCAGAAACACTCCCAGGAATATTATAAATACTGTTGGACTCTCCTGCCTATCTTTTGCAGGGGAACTGGCTCTTGGTGGCCAGAAGCCAGCAGCTCCCAAGCACATGGTACCTCCATCAGCAGCAGAAACACTTGGTGTTATGACCGAACCAAAGCTACCAGCACTAACCCCTCTGGCATATTCCAGGCACCAGCGAGAGCAGATCCGGTCCTTGGGCAGCACCGCTGCAGACTGTGGCCCTGCTGAGCTCCACTTTTCCATCACAGACCCAGAGCTGCTGACAAACACCACCCGGGAGCTAAACCGGCTGCGGGAGGATAAAGCAAAACTGGAAATGCAGCTACATGAGCTGCAGAAGGTGCTGGGTGGGCTGCTGGCTTTCTGCGGGGCTGGAGGGGGAGTCTCACAAGCCAGATTCACCCCCTTCCTTAGGCATTCCCTGAGAGTTTGCTGTGCCTGTGGCACAGGCAGGGGTAGTGCTTGCTCTCTTTCTCATTTTGGGAAGAGATGAAACGTGAAATGTTCAAGCAGTCCCCTCATTGCTTCAACCCTGCTGTGCAGAGGCAAGTTATAGCTATTGACTGGGCAGCCCCACAGATTGGGATTGCTGAGCTCTGGGAGGGCTGAGGAGCAGCTGATGTTGTGGGAGAGCTGCCAGGCCAGCAGACTCACTCCCTTTTAAAGAAGAGGTAAGCAAGGGAGGGTAAGGTGGGGCTTTCTGTTCTTGAATGCCTTTGCTAACTGAGCAGGAGACCCCACTCCAAAACCCTTCAGTCAGCTCCATGTCCTCCCACCGGGTCTGCCTGGGCAAAGACATGTCTCTCAAGTTACACAAAATGCATTTATTTAACAATTCAGAGGATGGGAGATGTAAACCTTAAGAATCCACTGCACATCATTCCTTGCCAGGGCATTGGTGGCTGTTGGAGTGTGAGGATATGATGTGCCACTTCAAAGTGGTGGGGTCTTTGGTGAGATTGCAGTGGTTTAATGTTTATGGGAATACTCTTCTTCCTTTGCCTTCAGAAATGCCTAAAAGAAACCTCAGCCTTTCCGATGAATCCTGAGCAGTAAGTGCTGTTTGTTTCTTGGGATGTTTCTAATTCAGACTTTTCCTTGCTGTGTAGATTGAGAAGTCTTTTTGGCTTTACTTGGAGATGGTAATAAATAGGGAGAAAGCGAGCTGATAGGGGCTCATCTGAGAAGAAAAGCCAGCTGTCACCTCAGTGCAGCGTTCCCTGTGGTGAAATGAGCTGGTCATTTGGGCCTCGGTCCAAGAAAGCTCTTAAGCTCATGTTTGATTTTGTCATGTTTTTAGATCCACTGATCTCTTTAGAAGCTGAAGTTAAACATATGCCCCAGCGCTTTGGTAGAACACAACCTGGGGAAGGCAAGTGAAACACTACCAGTTTGGGATAGTCTTGTTTCTTCTCCTTCCCAGTGCAGAAGCTGGGCTGGATCCCTTCAGTGACGCTGTCCTGATACTGCCCTGGCTTCACGATGTGCCCTTTATTTGCTCCTTTTTGATAGGTTTCATACCCCTGCTCCATTATTCAGTTGAAACTCTATCAACTATATCTGTGGAAAGGTGGAACAAAATGGTGAAGAAATCTGAGCTGGGATTTTCCAGCCTTTTAAAAATGTAGCCTAGAAAACATATCAGGTATTTCACTAACTTGATAACAGGCCCTGCCATGTTTCCCACACTGAAAAGTAATAGTAGTCCTTATAGCATCATAGAATCACTGAGTGGTTTGGGTTGGAAGGGACCTTAAAGCTCATCCAGTTCCAACCCCCTGCCATGGGCAGGGACATCTTCCACTAGAGCAGGTTGCTCCAAGCCCCTGTGTCCAACCTGGCCTTGAACACTGCCAGGGATGGGGCAGCCACAGCTTCTCTGGGCAACCTGTGCCAGCGCCTCAGCACCCTCACAGGGAAGAACTTCTGCCTAAGAGCTCATCTCAGTCTCCCCTCTGGCAGGTTAAAGCCATTCCCCCTTGGCCTGTCCCTACAGGCCCTTGTCCAAAGCCCCTCTCCAGGTTTCTTGTAAGCCCCCTTTAGGCATTGGAAGCTGCCCTAAGGTCTCCCCGCAGCTTTCTCTTCTCCAAGCTGAACATCTAGATATGAATGCATCTGTCCTTGAATAGATACATTAATTTTGGCAGATTCACCACAGGAGTAAGACAGAGTCCAGAACCTTAATTTTAGTGATATATCTAGCTGTTGAGGTGCCAGCTTTTTAGCTGCCAAGACACTTGACCACCTGATATACTTTTTTTCTGTGTGCTAATGGGTTTATCCATTACCTAGTTACTCTAGCTGGTGTTACTGCAGCACTTCAGCTATAATTCCTGCTACTTCTCATCTCTATCAGCTGTGTGGCTTCACTGTTTATTGTTCCCTTTGCTTCTGCTCCCATGGAATCTCAGCCACAACTTCCTGTGTGCCTGGGCTGGGAGGCTGCAGTCACCAGAGGGAACTCAGGCAGTCACAGCTCTGGAGCACAATGCATTCCTTCCTTCATACAACCCAAATTCCTCCAGCATCAGATGTGACCTGTATCTTGCTTATTCGGACAGGGACAGAAGAGGAAGAACTTTCCCACGCTGGGCTGCACAGACAGCTCAGCACCTATCATGCTCGGTGACCAGAACAAGAGTGTTTGTGCTCCGAAACGTGAAAAGTGGCAGTATTTGGCATTGATCACTCTCTATTTCCATCAAATTCAGTGTCAGGTTAAGGACTCTTTCTGCACAGAGTGCTCTGATGTATGAGTGTTGATGTGAGCTTGGAGCAAACCCAGCTGTCACAGTGGAGCATCCCAGGTTGGCAGAAGGGCTGTGACTCTTGTGCCGAGGCACAGGGACAGTGCTGCATGCCCTGAAGTTTGGGGCATCAGGAGAAAAAAAGGTGCAGAGCATGGGGGTTTATGGTTCGATGGGCATGAGTTGTGTCCAGCCCCTCAACAGAGCTGTGTGACCTATGGTTGGGATGGATCTGAATGCCTGGACGTGATCAAGTTCTGGTTTTCCCTCCTAGGCCACTGGATGAGAAAGGCTGGGCAGAGGTCAGGAAGCAGCTCTGGGAGTTCACACACACCACCCAGGTAAAGGCCTGGAACAGCCCATCCCAATAAAAACTTACCCCTAACCCACACGTCAAAGGTGGGCTGCCCCAGCCAGCTGCTGGGGCCAACACACTGGTCCCAGCTGGAACAGGGAAGCTTTCCATAGAGCCTTGCTGTGGCTTTGGCCTCAGTCCACCAAGTGGTGCTCTCCAGGCTGTACTGTCCCTGCTACTAGAAGGAGGAGAGCAGCCTTTATGTCTGCTCGTTGCTGGACCATATTGGTCCCTCCTGTGTTTCAGCACAAGCATTTAGGCATCTGTACAATAAACTGGGTCTGTGTTCAGCCTGGTCCAAGTCTAGGCTGAACCTGAATCAGCTTCCCAGTGTGGTTCCCCCTGGGCATGAGGATATTTACACCACTCTCAGGAATGGGATGGCCCAGTGTGGGGAGGAGAGACTGAGATGATGTGAGCAGGCTTGGCTGAGGTGGGGATTGCTGTCTGGCAATGATGGCAGCAGTGTAAAGAAGGGTTGGTGCTGAGGTCCCTGCCATACTTGGGGAAAGGGCTTTGGAAACCAAGCAGAGGTTTCTTTTTCTGTGGTAGACAAGGCTATAGATGTGGTTCCAGACCCCTTCCATGTTGCCCACAGCAGCCTAAGGAAGTGCTCCACCATTGTCTGGTCAGGTAAAGCTGAACATCTAATTTGGGTGCATCTTTGTGGCCAAAAGAATGGAGATGCTGTGGCTGAGAGATGGAGCACTGTGCAGGGAGCAGGTCCTGTTCCTGGCTCTGCTGTGCACCTTGGTGGTGAGCTCAAACACCTCAAGTACTCCTTGTGACACAGGGACCATGTGGTTACCTTGGGTGAGGTGGTGATCTACTGCCCAGAGACACTGTGCAAAAACAACTGTGGTTTCATCTAAAAGGGAAGGTGACTTCCCTTTGCAAAGAAATACTGGCATAGAGGTGTGAAAGCTGTGTCTGTGTGTCAAATCCAGTGACCTCTGCACCAGTTTTGAAGCTTCTGGAGGAAGATGTCACAGATGGCCCTGGTGCCCAAGCCTGTGCTTTGGTCAGGGAAGGGAGCCCAAACGATGATGCCTGCAGAGAGCTGGGCTGTCATCACCAGGCTCCTGTCCCTGAGCATATCAGTTTGGGGTTGCCTCTGTAGCCTAATGCTAAGTGGTGTTGGAGCTGAGTGATAGGGAAGTGGTCACTCCCATCTCACAGAGCCTTCTCCATGGTTTTCGCCCCTCCAGGAGGATTTGGAGCAGGAAAGAAGCCAGCTCCTGACTCGGGCCATTGTGGCAGAAGAGCAGGTGTCGGAGCTGCAGGAATACATAGACAAGCATCTTGCAAGGTGAGATGGTGGGGTCCCCCTTCACACGTTCTCTGCTTTATGCTCCAAGTTTCTCTCCCAGGATAATTGCCAAGGAAAATGGCCACTATGTTCCCATAGCACTGCCAGCAGGGCTGATGTCCCACAGCACATCCAGCTATGCTAGAGCTGCCACCAGTCCTCCTTCTGTAGGGCAGTGGGGCAGCATCTGGCCTTACCTCATCTTTTGGAGGAATCTAAGAGAGGAATCTTAGCTGGAAGGTAAGAGAAGCAACCCCTCTCTTAGCTGCAATCTTCCAGCAGCCCCTAACACACAGTCCTTTCTCCCTTGGGGGCTCCTCATGCCCCAAAGCAGGGAGAACAGGTGTTTGGGCAAGGAAGGGTGAGGAAAAGCAGAGCACATCTGGTGGAGCAATGGTCCAACTGTGTCTGCTCTAACTCCACAGACCGAGTGCCTGCTTTAAACTCAGGTCAGGCTCACAGGTTTGTTACCTGGCAGACGCCTCTTCCTTGGGAAAAGGCTGGTTTTGTATCTGCCAGGACTCAGTTCCCAGGGGACTCAGTGCCTGGGCTGGCTGCTCTGCATTAACTGACACTGACTGTGTGTCCTTAGTAAACACAAGGCACAGCATCCATTTAAACAAATCACTCAGGATTATGAATCCACAAGCAACCATGGTGCTGCTTTCCCACTACAGGTACAAGCAGGAGATTGTCCAGCTGAGGAAGCCGCGTGTGCTCAGTGCTGGGGCAGCTGACACTCGCTGCCCAGAGCCAGAACTGTCAGGCATGAACCATAGCTCTCCACCACGACTCTGAGGAGCAGAAAGAGCAGGATTCCAAACGGAGCTTTGTTTTGTGGACTGGCGGGAGCACGTATCCTTCCCTTGCTGAGAGCTGGGAGGCACAGTGAGGGCAACCACGTGGGTGTTCTGGGTCTCAAATTCACAGCACTAACATGAGACAAGACAACTGCGTCTCGTCTATCCTGACCCCTCAGCTGCAGGAATTCTGCTGTTCCCTGAGCACATCACAGCTGGGACACGGGGTCAGGTTCCCAGGCAGCTTTTTACTGCGGGGCTCCAGGTTCCCATTCCTGCGATAAGATTCCTCCTGGGCAGACCTAGACTGGAGTCCAAGGACTAACTCTGCTCCTGCCTTCACTCCCCTCTCAGATTCTAAGAGATAAGGTCAGGGCTGGTTCAAGCCAGACTTTGGTCTAAGAGGCTAGAGAAAGGGGGTGATCTGCTCTTTAATGGTGGAAAAGCCTTTTTTAACTGTTTCAGTGGAAAATGTAATGTTATACAAGGTGAGCAGGACCAAAGTGATCCTTCAGTGGGAGGGGAGCTGGACAAACCCCCTCCTGAGCTGCCTCCAAAGGGCCAGCAGAGCAAAACCTGAGGCTGGGAGCAGCTCTGGCTCCAGGAGCACCCTGCAGCTCAAAGGCAAAGCAAAAGTCTCATGGGTAGAATCAACCAAACGTTTATTTTGAAAACTGAACAAGAAATAAGGTAGTAAACGTACAGAAAGAGGCACTGGAGGTTTAGCCCTTAAATCCTGCAATAATTCCAGGATTTCTAGGTCTGATTTTCCCCTCCCTTGCTTCCTCCAAACTGCCCACTCTTTGGAAAACTGAGGGACTGCCACCCTGCAAGTCCCCGGGAAAAAGCCTGGCCGAGCAGCCCTAAGCTGAGCCCGAGGGCTGGAAGGGCTCCAGTACTTAATGCCAGGCTCAAGGAGCCTGCTCTTAGACCCGGCTTCCCTCTGCGCTGCTCTGCGCTGCTCGCCGCACCTCCTTCATGTCATAGGCCCAGACTTGCTCCAGCCCCTGCCCGAGGGTGCTGGTGGGGGTCCAGGAGGGGAAGGGGAAGCGTCCAGCCACCACCCGGGCTTCGTCGGGGAGTTCTGCAAGGAGCTTGGCGGCCAGGGGAGGTTTCTGGGGAGAGACAGACAGCCATGTGGTGGCAGTGCCACCAGGGACTACAGGACAGGTTCTCAGCAGGGCTGGTGGGGCCCAAGCAGGCTCCATCAACCAAAGACCCTTCCAAAACATAGGGCTGGTGCCAGCCCTGTGCATGGTTGGGTCCAGGACCAAGTAAAAAGTGACAGGACAAGAGGAAATGGGCTCCACCTGCACCAGGGGAGGTTTAGACTGGATATTAGGAACAATTCCTTCCCCAAAGGGTGGTCAGGCATTGGAACAGGCTGCCCAGGGCAGTGGTGGAGTCACCATCCCTGGAGGTATTTAAAAGATGTGTAGATGTAGCACTTACGAACAGTTTAGTGGTAGCCTTGGCAGTGCTGGGTGGGATTTGATCTTAAAGGTCTTTTCCAACCTAAATGACTTTATGGTTCCATAAATGTGGATGGTGCTGAGCACCAAACCACTTACAGAGCCTTGTCTTTCAAAGGGTCTTTGCCACTGTCCCAGATTATACCTCTTTTCTAAGAAAACCCTCCTTGGAGCTCGTTCTGAACAAGCTGAGTGTGAGGGAGGGACCGACTTACCACACTGGGGGCCAGGAACACAATCACATTGTGGCAATCAGAAAGATTCACCTTAAAAGAGAAGGAAAAGGGGAATGAAAGACGCAACAAGCAGAGGGGGAGAAGGAGGAAACTGAGTGTCTCAACACCTTCTGAATGATCTTCTGAACCTCAGAGGAAGCAGAGATGCTCCACATGTGGGATGAGGATGTGCTGGTGTGCCTGGGAGCAGCGCTTCTCCCAAGTGCCTGCCTCCAGCATCATCTCAGATCCACCCTCCCTGCTGGGTTTCTCTGGTCAGGCTGCAGGCACCTTTAGGAGTACATCTCTGAAGGCCACCACGTGCCAGCAGCACCCTCAGACCTCTAATCAAAGCTGTTCTGAGAAGGAGCTTTTTTTTAACCAGCAGCCAGCCACAGGGTGCCCAGGCTGGTGTTCCCCTGGGAAGGAGGATGGTTTTCCACCTCCTGGGAGCAGTGTGGGTTGGGGAAGGAGCAAGCAATCACCAGCAAAGCCTGGCTGGGGCTGCAGACCAAGCCCTAGCGCTGGCCTGAGCACAGCCAGACCTTGGGACACTGTTACCTTCCACAGGTCTTTCTTCAGGAAGGAAACCTTCCCGTGGTAACCAGCCTTCCAGGCCCGGTAGTGGGAGAGACACAGGAGCCAGGGATTAAGCTCGTAGCCAACGGCTGGTCTCAGACCTTGCTTATAAGCCTCTAGCACCTAAGGAGAGACAGAGAGAGCTGCAACTAAAACAAACCTCAGGGTCGAGTCTGGGGGACAGTTCGGGGGGCAGGGACTGTGTCCCAGCTCCACTCACTCCCTCCTCATGGGCAGGGTGGCCTCAGTCCTTGGCACCTTCCTCCTAGAGTGCCTTCCCACCCTGCTCACTACATGTGATGTCTTCTGCTGCCATCAAGGACCATCTAGGGTTGTCTAGGACCCTCTAGGACTACCTAGATCAGTCCAAGGCTGTTTATGACCATCGAGTACTATCTAGAGCTGCTTAGGGCTTGCCTAAGGCCACCAAGGGCTTCTCTAGGGCCACCTAGGACCCTAGGACACTGTCTAGGGCTTGTCTAGAACCATCTAGGGACACCCAG